TACATACATACATACATACATACATACATACATACATACATACATACATACATATATATATACATTCATACATTCATTCAGTCATAAATACATATTTACATACATAAGTACCTGCATACATCCATACACACAATTCACGTATATTTTCCTACTCACTGGCCCACTTGGCAGTCTAACACGATTGTAATACGTCGTACTTTTAGGTCGCACCACCACAAGCCAGGCTTGAGTCCCGTAGGAGATGGGTACTGATGAGACCAGTTCAGGCCTTCGATACGAATGCCTTTTGGGAGACAAGGCTAAATGAGAATGCTTGTGGGAAATTTCATTCATCACTTTTCAATCACAAGCAGATGTGAAAAAAACCAAATTATCGACATTTAAAATACCTTATGCTGCCTTGTTTTACTAACGTCTTATTAAAGAATCCCTGATAGCCTCTAAACCCACTAATCCCGGAAAAAATTGTACTTTTCACTGAAAAGTTTAGTCCTCCAAGAGTCAATCCTTTCTGTCCTGCCGCATGAAATTATATTCTACAGCACTTATGGGACCGCCCGATAAGAGGAAAGGTGCGAAATTTGTATGCTATTATGATGAGACTTTCCACTTCTAAGGAAAAGTTGGTTAGAAGAAATTCGTGAAATGATCTCACCAAAAAGAAAAGGAGGATTGTTGTGGAGTGGCATGAAGATTGTAAGATCATCATCATCATGCGGCCTTAATGAACCTGCGCTAAACTTTCGTCCATACCTCCCAGACAGACAGCATTAGAGTAAGAATTCATATTTTTCATTGTATAATTGAGATTTTCATGGCTACTATGGATCTTATGTATGAGATGTCTTCGGCCTATTTCGTTTGAGGTGATAAGAGGAATGAAAGTTGAATTTTCTCATAAGCATAGGAATAGATTTTATATTTTCAATGCATTTCACACAGCCTTGTTTCCCAAAAGGTATTCTCATCCACGAAGGACCTCAGTATAGACCTCGCCTAGGGTTTATCGACATCTCTAGCTGTCCTCCATCTTTATATACGGGAAAAATAATGATATAGACTTTAATTCGAAATGAAAATCTACTTAAATTCACTTCCCCCCAGGATGGCTTCTTTGATTCGGTATGCATGTATGTGTATGCAAGTGTGTAAGCGTACTTTAGAGGCCAAATGAGTATTAAAAGTCTTAGATTACAGGCGATCATTGTACCTTTGGCCAATTTGAAGTCCGCAGAGTTTCTTTAACCAGCAGATCTTTTATATGAAAGATATGAGTTATATTTGCCACATTTTGTTTAAGTTGATGAAGCAGTGGTAGTTGAATTTTCCCACAATCATCTGAGTAGACATGATGCTTTCCCAAAGAGATTTCTCATCCAGGCCTAGGATTTATCAACGCTTCCAGCTGGAGTGGCACTGTAGCATGTGATCTCGACATATTAGCCCCTCAGCCGCGTTGTCATGAGTGGCTTTGGGTTAAAGAAGGAGTATGAATTGTAGGAAAGGTTAGGAATTTTCCATATCACATTCTGTGCTCCGACTGTCGATGAAGCGAACTTATATTTGCTATAGCAATGAGTAGGTTGTCGAGAATACCACAGCTCATATCTGATTTACTGCTAGTCTCGAACATCTTCTAATAAACAAAAAAGCATCCTAGGTCCGAGTACTCTAGGCAGAAATGTGTTGGCCTCCATTAGAAACTCTGACTAAACCCCAACGAGGCGGGTTCCCACAATCCCGAGGCATTAAGTTTTGCTACCGTGTAGCAGTTCTAGTAGAACATAAAACTGCTC